TATACGTGTAAGAATTGTCTTATTCTAATAGTTGATTAGTTCCAGTTTCTATTATTGCCTGTTCTGGCTAGTGATTAAAGTATACGTGTAAGAATTGTCCTATTCTAATAGTTGATTAGTTCCAGTTTCTATTATTGCCTGTTCTGGCTAGTGATTAAAGTATACGTGTAAGAATTGTCCTATTCTAATAGTTAATTAGTTCCAGTTTCTATTATTGCTTGTTCTGGCTAGTGATTAATATATACGTGTAAGAATTGCCGTATTCTGATAGGTAATCAGTTCAATTTTTCCTGTTCGGCTTAGCAATGATCGTACTAAGTAATTCATTTATATGTACTAGAACTGGCCTTGGCTTGGTATAAATATATCCATTATATAATTGTCCTCTTGTAATTAACATGCTTTAAGATTGTCCTAATCCAGTGAATTATTAGTTTATACTAGTATTACCCTGCATTACTTTGTGATTAGTGTAGAGGTTATATTATCCTCTTGTTGTGATTTATAATTAGTGTAAATATGCTAAAAAATTGTATTTTCTAGTTAGTGAATCCCAGTTAACGGACACAAAATATCTGTTATAGCAAGTGATAATAGGAAATGTACTAGGATTATTCGTTTTAGGCTATTAATAAACATAAAAATGCTAGAATTGTTTAGTATATTTAGTGATTTGTATGCAAATGATAGTTATGCCTTTCTTTACATATACTGCAAAAAATACCGTAAAATATACATGAAACTAACCGTTATTTTTCAGTGTTAAAATCAGCAGGTTCAAGTTTGGTTAAAACCCGAAAATAACTTTAGAAACACTGCAGAAATATATATACATTTTAGTTTTAGTGAAATTATCCGTAAGTTTTTTCAACGTAAGCCTTTATTTTTTATACACAATTGCATTTTTCCTACCAAGGGGGTTAGTGCTTTGATCCTGGTCGAATTATATGGGTGTAGATATTTTATGTGAATAAACGCTTTCAAGTATTTCTGTGTAGAAAACATTTGAAATATAAAGAAAAAACATTGTTGTATGTGGATTAGCCATTGCTGTAAAACTATTTCTTTGTAAGTTCACCGTTAAAAGACACTAGATATACACACATAAATATATTGCATGGACATTAAACATTAATTTAAAAGTATTTCATTGTGGAATGGCAGTGAAAAACACTGGTAATAATCTTATTTTACGTGAAATAACCATTAACTTTATGGTATTTTCTTCTAGAATAACAGTAAAAAACACTCAAAATATAAATTAAAACAGTTATTTTTGGGTAAATTCTAGTAAATTTTAACAGTGAATTGATGTGAATGTAACAAAAGACATCGTGAAATAGATTAAGATTTTAGCTTATTTTTACAGTAAAATGTCTAACAGCTCGTCTGCTAGTCTTTTAACCGCAAATTAACTGAAATTTTATATAATGTAGGGTTATAAGTTAACGTTATATATATATATAAAGTCGTCTTTGGAATGTCAATATGCTAGAGAAAATCAGAAGGAAACTTTTTATACACGCAAAACGTGGAATGTTTATTTTATCTGATTACTTCGACAAAATATCATTAGTACTAATCCTGCAATCATGGTTCAGAATGTTTATACTTATACATGTTTTTGTACTCATGATTACAACCTCTAATACACTGATGCAACATCAAACAATGTAAAAAAAAACTATATGCCAATCTGCGCTGATAAAGTTTAACACAAAGCTCAATATATTATTCTTTACTGAATGAATTCATCATATAAGCAATTGTTCACAGTTTAAGAAGCCTTAATTAGTTTGACAACAAAACATAACGAAAGCAGGGGATGTTCAGAAAGAAACAGGTTTAGCTTTCATATGTCGGATAGGATAAAATGGAGCCGACGAACAATCATGTTAATACGTCGATAACCGATTACGCTACTTCATATGCTATGTTTCTCAAATAAGTGCCATATAGTGGTTAGGGCACTCGACTCGCAACCTGCAGGTGGCGGGTTCGAATCCCCGTCACACCAAAACATGCTTATTCAGGTGTCCAGACTAGGACGCGAGTCCTACTCCCGGATACTCATATGGAAACACCATACGAAAGTACTATTATTAAAATGCATCATCGCGCTGTAGCAATGTTTCAACAAAGGGTGGAGTGTAGAAGCCGTGTTGATGCACGGACGGTTTTAAAATGTATACAGTTACGATTCCACCTTTTAGGTTCTCTCAATGACGGTCTGCGTGGGAAACGCTTCCAAACAACCAATATTCTTAAACAGCTTTTCGCATTTAGCTCTGTTACAACACACGAGATTTTGGGGGAAATGCGCATGTCGTGAATTGATATTTGGCGGCTTCCACCCTCGGCACAATTAATGTACGTTTGTTGTAATTTGACAAGGTCAACCTCAAGGGAAAAGAAAATCCTATTTCTTTCTGAACACTTATTGTAAAAAAAAAACGATCAACTTTTATTAAGCTGGAATTTAGTAGGAAAAATAAGACAAACTAGGACTGAATTAAGTCTAATTTCCTGGATTGAAATACAACGTAACTTTGAATAATATGAAGCGATGAACAAAATAATTTCTTTGTTTTATATAACTTAATGCCCTTTTGTCATTGCAGTACTTAAATCACAATAATTAATCTTTTTTTTTTCTTCTCTAGATTGTAACAAAAACACATCTGGAATTTTCTGCACTTTGTTGATATCCAACAGTAACAACGAGTTGAGTTAAAAACTGATATAATCATCCGCGTCATTTCTTATCTTAGTGGAGATTTAGTGAATATTTGTGACTTTCTCGCGTTATTTTGGTATTTAAGAATTTTATATCAAAACGATGTATTCTGTTTCAATTTCAATTGAAATTTAATTTCCTCCTTTAACACGTTGATTTCTAATGATCTTTTGATATTTTAATTTCGAGAATTAGAACAAAATGTCTAATAAGTTCACATTTGGTCACTTATAGAAATTTCTGTGCAGTTCTTTAGAACGTATTCGAGAAATCAATTAATAGAAAACCTTATAATAGGGTAATGGGTATTAATCATAAAAACTAAAGTCAATGTCTATATCTAAACAAGGTGACTTACGAAAACGTGGAGAGAGAATACTTATTATATATACTAAATACGTGTAAGCACTTCAAGCATGTTAGTCTGTCAAATCACAATAATAATCATTGGAACTCATGGAGGACATTTTTTTAAAGTAAGAATATATTCTTAGTGCTATAATCCAGAGCATCATATTCTGTGGCACGCAAAGCAGTTAAATAACTTAACTTCTCATCATAAGTGATTAAAACTTGTTAATATTAGTGTTTGAAACAAGAACGTGAATAATTCGACACTATTTTTTTTTTATCTTATGTGCCTTATAAACATACATCTCACTTTGGAAGTATCGTCTCACCTAAGTACCCCAATATATATCTCAGTAACCAATAAATTGCTTTTCATTTTTACATAATCACGGAAACAACGCGCACTTTTGTTATGTACGAAAATATACACACCATTTATCTATATCATTCATAATGTACATAAACTACTTTGTAAACAATTCACGAAGTTACTTTTTAAATATGATTCAAAATTTCTTTGAAAATCTAAACAAGGTTTAACTTCTAACATATAGAGAACACCTAAACGTTGTCACGTCATTAATAAATACTGGAGCTTTCAACAATTATTGATAACAAAACACTAATACAGAAGAAAGCATATAAATTAAAATCCTTTTTATTTTTGAGAAAAACACATTTTCCCCTCCTTTTTTTTTAGAATTTAACTAAACGACACGTTTTTCACTGAGCAACTGTTATTCAGTAATACAAACCCTACAGCTAAAGGAACGCTACTCTTATAAATGTTGGCACAGTAGTTTAAATATTTCGCAATATCATTAAGAACATAAAAGGTACGACAGTGAGACACGACAAAGCCTGTTGGATTGTTCAACAATTTTCAATTCAACGAGAGCCTTGAAAAGAAATATCAAATTTTCATTCAAAATAGGTCAGTTAAACAATAACTCACCGAATAATTTTCTGAATTTATCTGTCGTCTGTTTTTGTTTATTAAATTAAGTTTTGAAAGTCGTTTTAATTTTTACTCTGTTAGATTCTTTTGAGCAACAGATGTTTGGAAATTATCAAACATTTTCAATGTGTCACTCTCACCGGTAAATCCAATATTTCTGGTACTTTGGCTGATGGTACATTTTCTTGGAAACAATAAATACAGTTCTTCAATTTCTTTCCAAACCGGCCAATTTTTACTGGCTAGCTGCATCTTCTAACAGTGCATCTCTTTCTTTCAAATCCAGGTTACGAGAAATGCTGGAAACCTCATTTGTTGTTGGATGGTTATCGACATATAGGTTTTTGTTAGCAACGTTATGGCCATATGAGGTGAGTCGATTTACAGGGATGTTAGTGATGCTGTTGGAGTTCACGTCCACGTTAGTATAAGCTGTGGGCTGGTTATTTAGCTGTTGTGAAAGTGCCGAGGCGTCCAGTGAGATGTCAGAGCGATGACCTTGACCTGTGATGTCATTAGAGCTAACACTGTTGGATAACGCTGGGGGCTTGTTGCCTCCTGGCACAAAGGGCAGAGACTCCAAAGACCTCATACTTGATGCTTTTTTAATAGGACTCATTTCGCAGTTTTCATTCCACTGTTCATTTATATTTTGATTCTGCTTTGGACTCCCGCTGACGTTGTGGCCCGAGTTGTAATGATTTGATGTAGCATCAGGAGATCTCTTTAAGGGAGACATCGAATTATGAGTATCACTAACATTAAGATTCGTTCCTTCATTTTCGTTATCCTTTTGACATTCATCACTGAGCGGGGATTGATGGATGGTGTTCGGAACAAAATCACGGTTTGTTTGGTCAGCCTGAATGAAGCTCGTTTCCATGGTATGAGAGCCGTTCTTGTTGTTTTTAGATGAGATTGAGGCTTTGTCCTCAAGATCAAGAAGTTTCTCCATCGACTCAACACTCGACTGTAGTTCTGTTTTCTCAGTGTCCAGGCTGTAATTCGATGAAGGCATTGGGATAAGGTAATCTTCCGAGCCTGGTGACTGAAGGTCACATTGAGGGCGATTAACCTGAGATAATAGGTTAAAAATTAATTTTTGATGTACAATCATAAATTGAGAGCTTATGAAACAAACAAACTGTTATTGTAATAGTATCAAATCCAGCTTATGGTATTTCGAAACTATTGTTATTTTTCCAAGCCAACAGTAGATCACAGTAATTATAGCACACAGTACAACTCATGCTACAAATCAAACTACATATTAAGATTAAATAAATCGAATCCGTCGCAGAGTAGGTTGTCTGAGTAAGGCGGTTTACTTTCAGTATAAAGTTTTAATAATTCTAATAAGGGGCCATTTAATAAATTTATTAGAAACGAACTTTGTACAAAAGAAAAAATTATGATAACAAGCATGACAACTTAGATGTCAGCTTCTTGATGGCTTATAACGTTAAAATTCGGGATTCGGTCCTCACAGTAGGCACAGCGTAGATAGCTCATTATATAGTTTTGGGTTTAAACAATCAAATAAACATAAATCAAAGCACTTCCTATTTACACACACTTCTCACTATGCTTGTTTCAGTAAGTACATATGATGTACAAAACATTATTCCATTTAACATAAAACAAAACACGTTTTCTTCCCAGTAGAAACAAACGTGTTTTCCGTATTTTGATAAAATAAGCGAAGAATAAGATTTGTATACCGATTATATAAGATGTTTTGACTTAATTGTTCTACAGGAATTCGTGATTCATTTAATTAAAGTGCATTATTTGAAGTTTATAATTGACTCTAGGTTCGTTAGCGGTTACACTGAGGGCTTATAACGCAAAATTTCGAGGTTCGGCTCCTGCAATTGGCACAGCTTCAACAAATAAATAAGTATTCATAACTAATGCATTGTATCAATGGCAATAAGTCTCGTTGACGGTAAGCATTACCAAAAGATACAAGGCCTAGCTATTTTGAACAAATCTGCAACATATTATATTTGGATAACAAGAAGGTGTTGATAAACCACTTTCACTAAACAATAAGTTAGCATCAAAGAATTGGCTTCTATACTTGACTGACATATTAAAATTTCACTAATATTCGAGCCTACTGTTTAAAGCATTATTTTATATGTTGACACTCATTCACTCTTTTTTTGCAGTGCCTATTGTGGTTATATACTTCTAAAATTTTGCATTTCGTTTTTCGAATAAGTACAAAAAAATACCCTTTTATAAACTTCCACCACATTCACAACTTAAAGTTTTTGTAGTTTCTGGTGTTCTGAATTCGTAACATAAATTATTTATATACAGACCAAGTTTGTTCCGTTCGTGATCAAAGCTCAAAACTTCTCCATTACTTTGCGCCATAAAGAACCCATCATTAGAGATTTCTATAAACCAATATTTTACTAAAGCCGTGATGATGAAAAATATATAGCTGAAACAGACTTTCACAAACTAAAGAAGACATACAGTTTTAAATAGTTACCAAACTGACCGAACTGGTGCACATAACACAGGCCTGCGATGGTTATATTTTCTTGATATCTTTACAAGTTCTACAGTAATTCCTGTAGGCTGAATCCGAAAATAATATCCATTTTTCTCCATCACGTATAGATTCTTAACGCAATACATAAAAGACCACAACACGTAGTTTGAGACTAAGAGACGTAGATTTCACAAGAAAAAATCAGGATGAATGAGGATGCATATACGTTTGACATCAGTGTTCTTCCTTTTTCTTCAGTTTGTTTGTATTTTTGTTAACAAGCATAATAATAAAAAAATTTCATTGTCGTAAACGAAATAATATTTTGACCTAAGTAAGATTTTTTTCTTCACGGGTTCTAAAAAATACTTACGTGATAGAAAGAAAAATAATATTATTTTCGAAATCTGTGTAGCTGAATTATGGTTAAAACCAAAACAACTTTTACGAAGTTTAAAGTCGCAAACCTGTGTAATCAATCGCAAAAGGAACAGTCTAGTTTCATACTGATATGTAACATTTT